CGAATCCCGGTGAGCTACTGGTGCTTACCCGCTATCTCCACCACCCTGATAGTGCCTTAGGCCGCCGGAACAGTCGTGCCGCCGCACGGTTCTGCCCGTCGTCGAGGCTAGGCCTCGGTAGTGCACCATTAAGCTCCCAACCGCCGCCCATCCTTGCGCGTTTGGCTATAGAGCCCGGTCGACCCCTCTGTCTCACCGGAGTGCCGCTAGGTTGCCCGGCGTATCCGCCGTATGCCGTTGGTGAACCGCGCCATCGCGCGCATGCGCCCAGGGGCATGCCGTTGTAGAGATGAGTTTTTACAGGGTCTTAGATGCGAGGCGTGTCTCTTCTGCAATAGTGCGCATAGTGCCGCGTAATAAATTGATAGATCAAGGTCTTTTCTGCATAATAGCCAGCGAGCACGAGGGATCCCGCCTTGGGCCGCTTGCTGGGCCGGCATGCTGCGCGCGCCCGCGTCCCGCATTGGGCCAAGCCGGGCTGCTGGGCCGAATTAGTTGCCGCCGGTTTTTCCCTTTTTCTTAAGCAATTCATAATTTAGTTTCTAAGCAAACTTATAAATTCAATATAAAATTGTATAGCTGACCAAAAAATTATGAAACTAATTTTGTTAAGTTTCTAAAATCATGATCTATCTGCTAGTATATTTTGTTTGCATGGTTCATAATATTTCCAAGAGTAATCTAATTAAATTGAAATACTTGACATGGTTAAAACATCAAGTTGTAGGAATTATTGCGGTAAATCAGTAATAGTGTTGGCTCTGGAATCTTTATAGTACATTCCTAACATTATTAGGTGCTCACTGTAATTTTTGAGCCTAGTACGAATATATGTATTTAATCAATAAAATGCTAAAACACCTTGGGGTTGTAAAAGTAAAACATTTTCTAGAAACGAAGCCTTACTTGACAACGCGGATACGTAGCATAGTGCGTTAGTCATTAGAGTTAGCCCGTTAGCTTACAAAGCGTAATAGTGTTTTTAGAGTGCGGTTGACGTTGGTTAATTACGTTTTCTGAGCTACATCTGCGAATATCATAATAGGAAAACGATGGATCTGGAGTCGATCGGAGTAGCAGGAGGATGGTGCCTTGGTGATCGTGTCACCACGGTGGAATGCAAATCCTTGGTTATATCTTGCCCAGGCAAGCTCCGGTGCATAACCTCTATTATTCTGCACTTTATTTTATGTTTGTGCATTAAGTTTTGAGGAGTTGAATGAAACCCACTTGCATATATATATCCTTGACCTATGAGTCTTACTAGCATGATAGGATCATGTAGATTGCTATGCTTTAGGACCCCGGTAGAAGTCGAGTGATTGTCTGTCACTCGTGAGAGAAAGGAGAGATACTATTATTGTCATTATTATACTACTATCACATGAAAAATATATATATCAGGATGATAATTGGAGACCGGGTGGAATGGTACTTTGGATCTAGATTTGGTTAGACATTCGAGCGAGGCTCGGATTGCATTTGTTCCGCCTGTGTCAATTGAGGACCGTCCGTTGCTATGGATGGTAGTTAGGTCACAGACTTATTATCCTAAGCACATACTTGCTTATGGGAGCGGGAAGACTTGTTACTCTCTTGTCATAGGTTCTGGCTCTTTTCGGACCAACTTTCGGGGTGGGTATTAGGTGAAGGTCTAAGTACCACACTGAGGCCGGGTCTCGGGTGTTGGGAGGCTTGGAGTCCAAGTTTGGACGGGGACCTCGACCCCTTGACAGGAGTGAGACGAGTTGGTTCCGTTTGTGCCTAGAGTACAAACGGGGCGTGTGTTTCGGGGTACCCAACTGAGATACATTGATTCGCGAATCGCCGTTGCTCGAAACGGTACTGTAGTAACAACTGGAACTTGGAAGGGATAAAATGGTTCTGATTGCTTATCCACATGTAGCTTAGGAGCTTACCTAGAATGATTAGCTAATTAACTAAAAATAACTGCTAAAAACTTGGAATATAATGATGCATTATTAGTAATGCTTTCTGCAAAGACAATAAATCAACAAGCCAAACAGCCTTGCATATCCTTGGAGTCTTTTACTTTCTCCTGACGGGTAAGTCTTGCTGAGTACAATTGAGTACTCAGGGTTTTATTCCTCTGTTGCAGGTGATCGATGGATGGTAGACTACTCTGGTGTATAGAAACCTTCTGATGGGCTCAGCGAAGATTTCTTCTTCAAATTTTCATAAAACTGTTTGCAAGGGAAAACTTATAATCTATTACCGTTCTTTGTATGTAAATGTTTCTCATGTAGCTCTTAACATGTAGTATATGAATTTTTATTTTCGCTGAAACTCTGATCACATGTTTAATTCCGCTATTGTATTATGTAATGTAAGAAATGACTAAAAGATGTTGTAAGCTTTATACTCTCATTTATGATCATGATGAAAAAATGTAGAGTTTCGAGTTCTCCCTCGGGGCTCGACAGAACTGTATAGTTTAGTATCCTCACTTAGGTACTCAGCGTCTAATAAAAAAATACTTTTGAGAGAGCATTAGATTAGATTAGACGGTTTCTGCCGCACATGTAGCTCTGCTTGAAAACGAGAACTCTTACTGGTCCATTACGTAATGCTTTACGTGCGCATACAGCCACCTATATTCAGTTTTTTTTTTATTCCGAGGAAACAAATGCTGGAGACCCCTGTATCCCTCTCGGCCCAGGCCCAGCTCGTGAATTGAAGGACGACGCGGCCCTCCCCGTATCCCTCCCGTATTCTTCCCGTATCCTCCCCGTATCTGTTGCAAAAAAAAGCTTCGCCCCGTTATCCTCCCCCTTCACCTGTTGCGATAGGGTTCAGCGACGCGGCTGCGTCCGGCGTCGCCGTGAGGACGGCGCGGCCGCGGGGAGGCGGCGTGGCTGCGTCGGGCGGCGCGGGAAGGGACGGCGCGGCTGCGACGAGGTGGCGGCGCGGGGAGGGACGGCGCGGCTGCGAGGAGGTGGGGCGGCGAGATTATTGGGTTCGCGAGCTCGCCGACGAGGAGGTCCTCCACTACATCCCGGCTTGAGGCGGCTGCGAGTGCTCGCGAGCTCGCCAACAAGGAGGTTCTCCACTGCACCATCCCATCAGTACCACCACCGCGCCTCCGTTATCAATCGCCGCCACCGCCCTTCGCCGTGGTCACCGTGCCCTTACTGCTACGACTACTAAGGCTCATCCTGCCCCGGCTCATGCGCAGGTCAGCAACTACATCCAGTTCCGGTCTGCGCTTAATCTGGTTCACTTTGTTGAATCTATGAATGCCAATGTCTCATGCTCACCACCTGTTTGTGAAAATGCTTATAGAAAGTGTCACTCTAGATCATCTCCAATATCTCCAGTGGTTAGGATAAGGACCATGGAGGTTGAGCCTTGGTTTGTGTGTCCATCACTCTTCCTCTTGTCTAGACAAACACTAGGTTTGTGAGCTTGTCTGAATAGTACAGGCATGCTTAGATAATGTGCACTGTAATGTACTACATGATTGAAATTTCTTTGGCGGTCATGGAATATCCAAATATGAATCGAAGCTGTAGTGTCCTGATGTTTGCTAATAGATTTCTTAGATATCTGGTACTATCAATGCCTGATGTTTGCTAATAGGCCACCAGTCATGGAATAGTCCTTGGTTAGATATCTGGTAGCTACACTCTGAAAGGAAACCAGTACATTAGAAAGGAAGGGAATAACTACACTCTGAAAGTAGAAAATGATCGAGCACTAGTCCATCCTTAGAATCAAATAAACACTTGCTTGTTTAGCAGAAGCTTTCGAAGAAGAAGATAGGATGAGCGCACTCCCTGATGAGTGATGAGACCCTACTCCACTTCCTGGAGTGCATATACAGTGTTCCAGGCCAGCACAGTCTCCAGGTCCTGGTGATGGGCTCATCTCCCTCGCTTGCTCGCTCTCTCATGACCACCTACACAGCATCTCTCCCCTAAATTCAGTAACCTCAGAGATGTTTGTCTCTACAACATTTTCGTTGAGTGTGACCTCAATTGGACTGACTATATATATATGTTTGTCCTTGAAGCTGAGCGTCAGCATCCTTGTTGCCATCAATTGTAACACTTCCTTTGCCTTCTGACTTTCTCAGACTAATTTGTGGAAGATATCTCGGTGCTTTGTAATTGCCTAGAAAGAAATCATGGTTATCTATAATAAACTGCAATGGTTAAATTTAAGCTGACCATATACTTCGGTCATGCAATTTTATTCCCACAAAAGCATAACAAGTAGGCCACCGGGGGACCATGCATGTTTCATTACATTATTTCATTACTACAGGAGTAGTATAGTATTATATATTATTATACACGTACTAGTACTAGCTATCTTCCTCTTTTAGTAGGATGGGATGGGATGGGATGGGATGGGATGGGATGGGTGCTGGGTTAGTGCTGCTGATGCCTTACTTAATTTGCTCAGATTAGTGATAAAGATGCCATGACAGTTGCGCCGGACTCCAGAAGCGTCGTCTGCTGGGGCATACTACTCCTATATATGGATTCAACTTTCAAGTATAATAATATATATACATATATTAGTGCCTCAATCTTACGAGAAATATGATTAAATTAAGTCCTCTTGTCGGCTGTTCTACCATGATAATGATATACCACTTTCTTAAGCAGATGTGATACTCCCAGCTGACAGGACAGGATTAGTGGGGCTTTCCGAGACTCAGAGAGAGAGAGGAGAAAGAGACAGCACTGACGGCCTGGTTCACAGGCTGAAGCAAGCATCATCAATCATCATCTGAGACTGTGCGATGCATGTCCGCATGGGCTATATATTAGTTTGGCTTGGGCCTGCTTCGGATATGGGCCACCTACTGTTTTCTGGAGAAGATCAGTGCCAGCCGGCCCAATTGGGGCGTATATACGATAGGACCAACATGGACTCTGCATTTCGTTACCGACGATAGGCCCAACGTGGACTCTGCATTTCGTTACCAAATTTAAGCTGTAGTGTCCTGATGTTTGCTAATAGATTTCAGAATGGACTTGTCAAGAGGGAGGATCTGTTCATCACAATTCACAACCAAGGTAATCTGAATTACAGAATGCTACCTTCTGTATTCTACTGCAGGTTTTTTTTTGCCCCACTCTATTCCATAATCTTCATGTGATTGAAAGTTTGGAATCTGTTCTCATTGCAGCCGTGGAACTCAGATCATGGCCATGTGCTTGATGCCTGCAAGGATAGCTTGAAGAAGCTGCAACTCGATTATCTCGATCTCTATCTTATTCACTTCCCAGTAACTACTAGGCATACAGGTAAGTTCCTTGCCCTTTGCACAATATTTAGAAAGATTCAATGGATACCTCACAGAAATGTGTATTTCTGTAGGAGTTGGCACAACTTCTAGTTCTCTTGGTGATAATGACGTGCTAGACATTGATTCCACTATTTCATTGGAAACAACATGGCATGCAATGGAAGAACTTGTTTCCATGGGACTGGTGCGCAGCATTGGAATCAGGTAAACCGAACCAACAATTTTCTCTGTTTTGTTAGCACCAGTTTGACATTTGAGATATTTAGTCTTAGCAAGCTTCCCTTTGTATTATGATTCATTACATTGGCAAGCTTCCCTTTTGTACTAGGAATATTGCTGGTGCTGAAAGCGTAGTGTAGTTTCGAAATATCCTGAATTGGAGTATAATAAGTCTTACACTAAAATTTTCTTGCTGCGACTTTTTCCATGCTTGGTGGTTTACTTTCCATGCTCTAGACTATCAACAATCATCCATTACAACTAGTTCTAGACTATCAACCATCATCCTTGTTTAACAAACAGGATCACATTTTGTTTGGATACTTTGCAATATCATCAGTTCTGGTGCCAATGTGATCAGCTAACTTGGCATTGTGGCAGCAATACAATTAGCAGAGCTTGGCTAAGAAGTATGGCAAGATGCCGGCGCAGCTGGTCCTCCGGTGGGGTCTGTAGCGTAACACGGTGGTGATCCCCATGACCTCCAAGGCGCAGTAATACATTAGCACACCACTTTATATACCTTCACTCATTGGGACATGTTTGGTTTCAAGCAGGAGCATTTGCCAAGTGAGGACAGGAGCTTGCATATGTATGTAACTGTGATGTGAACATGTCAGGCTTTTTATCTCTCTTAAAGGGAGCAATGCAAACTGGTTACAAATGTAAATATGTAAGTCTGCAAGATTAAATGTTTGGAGTATATAGTGTTAACGTGTGCTCTTATTGGTTCATTCTCAAATGGATTGTGTCGATTTTATATTGCTAGCGGTTCCATATGGATAGCTTGATTTTGGAGGCATTTCTAATAATGCCTCCATTAATGTTTGAAGGCGTTGTACATAACGCCTCTAAATAGTATTTTAGGCGTTTAGAAAATGCCTTTAAATGTTGATATCAAAAGGCATTTTGGAAAAACGCCTCAAAAGACCTTTTACTTTCATGTTTTAGACGGCGTTTTAAAAAAGCCTCAAAAGGTCTTTGATGGCGTTTTGACCATTTTTGGAGGCATTTCTAAACCCCTCCGGCCTATAATGGGACGTGCTGTGGTGATTATTAATACATGAGAAGTTCCAGATAAATGTACTTCTACACAATGGAGTTACTTTTTTTTTTCTCTGAAAATACACACATGGAGTTACGATGCAAAGTGGATGGCTATTATTTGGAATTAAAAGCAGAGGGTAACTAAACTTTACCGTAAAGGATATCTGCATGAGTATTTTGTTAGAGTACGAGCAAATAAATCAGTGAAATGAAAGATAAGCGATCAGTAGTGGGACCTACATTCATACATAAATTTCTAACACTTATCTCTCTCAAAATTACTGGTCCGTGAGGCAGCATATATAAGTCGATGGACTAATGTGTATCAAAATTAGTTTCATTGAATTCTCTATATAAAGTATAAAATATGTGTTGATACTTGATAGTAGTTCACTAAGGCCCCGTTCGTGTGCCCTTAAACCCGGCTTGATCCGCTTCTTTTTTTCATCAGGAACAGTGTTTCCCTCTCACAAATTCCTCTAGATTCATCCAAATTCCTCCAGATTCCTTCAAATTCCTCCAAACGAACGGGGCCTAAATATGGTCAAAGTCAGAAATTTAACTTATGATCTATTTAAGTTGGCTTCTTGGCTATAATTTTGAATTTGAGAGAGTACTATATACTTAAAGCGGGGAATGATTACATTGAAAGCATCAAAATAGGTGGCGTGGCGGTCGATAGAAATAGAGCGAGGGAATCCGTACTAGAACGTATAGTCAAACTGTAAAACAAAAGTCTCAAAGCACATTGCATGTGCGTGGGCAACGTACTACCACCGGGCAAGCAAGGAATAAAGAAGCTATAGGTTCGTTCAAAAGATACACAGGCAACGTACTACCACCGGGCAAGCAAGGAATAAAGAAGCTGTTGGTGGCGTGCGCCTGAGACGCTATGGATTTGGACAGCCATTATACTCCTATGCTCTGCAGCAGGTTGATGCATGAGCTCTGATCTCCATAAGACTCTTGATCTTATACATGGGTGGAGGCCACTGCAGGCACAGCTAGATCTCCAATTATTCTACGGTAACTACTTAACTATATTCCCAATTTATTATGTTAATCTATATCTCAGTAGAATTCATATGCAACTGAATTCAGTTCTAGCTAGTACTCCTTCCTTCTGTTTTTAACAGGCCTATTAGGATTTGTAGTAGTCTTTAACTGAAGGCATATTTTTACCACCAATTTCTCTTACAATATATCACTAATTGCTTTGCAATCAATGTCGCATAAAAAAACTTGGAATCCAATCTTTTCATGTAGCTTCTATACACTAATCATGTTTATAATTTGACTAATCGTGGTTCAAAATTTCTGGAATTTGGTTCTTCAAATCTTATTATGCTTACTAAATAAGAAGGGAGAGAGTAGTTCATTTATTTATTACACCAGCCAGCACCAAATTACCATCTGCTTGTGCTTAATTACAAGTTCTGGGTTAGCGCACATATGCTTCATTATTGATTCCTTGTTCTCATCAGTTTGTAATTTGGCAATCAGATAGATGACTATGGATCCACCGAGTCCAACCTGGATATACTCCAATGCGGCATTGCAGGAAGAAATGCTCTGCCCCAACGTTGCTGAGGTGGCCTTCTACGACACCATGGGACGACAGATATGGTTGGGGAACGCCATGCTTCTCGCAAGCGCTGCAATGACAGGAGTCTTGGTGGGGATAGGCGGCGGCTACGGCCGGCGCTACCGCCACCACCGCTTCACCCGCTTCATCTTCCTTGGAGCCAACATACTGTTCTTGCCCATCATCTCTTTTGTCGTCTCTACCCTTCGTGACAGCTCCAATGACTATGTCAACAAAGAGGATGGAACAACCTTGGCGGCATTGTGCCATTCAGTGTTCCACCCATGCATGGTCATAACATGGGCATTCCTTGTTCAGATGGCAGCTACCAATGCTACCTCAGTTGTTGCCACTGAAAGCAGAGAAGGTCGAAAGGTAGGCCCCCCTTGGGAGCTGCTTGTCAAGGGCATCTGGACCTTCTACCTTGGTGCCAGCATCACAAATAAACGTTTTTTTCATGGGCTGTTCAGGATTTCTCCTAGTGAGAACCATGGACCATTCACCCTCATCTGTTCCAAGATTATGTTTGCGCCTTTTGTTCTCATCTGTGCCAAGATTTGGTTCAAATGCTATTCGTTTAGAAAGGCACGGAAATCCTTTGCGCTAGGGCGCAACCCTAGTCTGATTTTTGGGTACACGAAGGAGCTACAAGTAAGAAGCCAGCATGGTGGAGCAACAACTGTAGGTGAGGATGCATTATTTTCTCCTCTCTTAGTTATGGGAGAAGATAGCAGGCAAGTGAAGAAGCAACCTTGGGGGTATGTGTTCAGCGACACATGGACAATGGCTATTGACAGAATTGGCTTGGTGACCCTTGATAGAGTATGGAAGTTGGACAGTGTGGCTCCGACATCAAAAGACTTATGCCTGTCCTTTGCATTGTTCAAGTTGCTGAGATGTCGATTTGCAAGGTATGATATCGCTAATGCCGTTGGCTCCACAGGGCACAAGTTTTTCTGGAGCATGCTGTTGAAGGATGGTGAACATAACAGGGTGTTTAGGGTGATTTCTGATGAGCTTTCATTCGTTCATGATTACTATAATTCATCACTACCAACATCCTATGCTAAGTGTTGGCTACCTTTCTTGAGCATCCTTATCTCACTCTTGAGCATAGGTTACTGCGTCGTGGCTGGATACTTCATTGTTGTGTTTGCAGGTCAGGTGCACAAGCATGGCCGCAGTCAGATCCACTGTGAGTTCTGGTGCAGTAAACTACAGGCGGTAAGCCAGTTGCACAATAAAGAATTTGGGAACTTGTACTTTGATGTGTTGCCAGAATTTCTGCTTCTAGTTTTGGTCCTGGTCGCTGAGGTGAGGGATATTACTTCCTACATCTGCTCCAACTGGACCAAAGTAGCCCTCATATGCCACCATGTAAAATGTGCATCTTTGCAAGAGCAGCAAACAAGATATCAATGGTTTGGTCTTATCTTGCGGTGCAGATGCAAGATAGTGAATAATTGGGATGAGAAAATAGGGCAGTGCTCAGTATTAGTGCTTCACCCAACTACAAGAACAAACTTTATTGGTCTTCTTAGTCGTGTATTCCATCATTTGCCAGATGAGAAGATGAAGGTCAATATGCCAGCAGCAGTGAAAGCTTGCATCATGGATTCGCTAAGAAGCACCGCTAGCAACACTGTATGTCAAGTAGGCAATGTCCGAATGTTTTTGCAGCGAAGTCAAGCTGGAACAGGTTTCCTCTGGGCATGCAATGGAAAGATGAGTACATCTGATATGATACTTACATGGCACATTGCCACATGCATCTTTGAGGTGAGGCACCCTTACTGGGATGATATAGAGCAAGGTTCTTCCCGATTTCAATCCAGCATAAGAGCGCTGCCACTCATCTGTCACGGTATTGCGCATATCTTATGACCTGGTCCCCGGAGCTCCTTCCTGACGAGGTTGCATGGACCAAGAGCTTGTATGAGGATGTCAAGAAGGATACTGAGCGTGTCCTCAATGTCCGTGCTGCGACCGTGCCACCGTTGATGCCTAAGGCTGAGTACCATGATTTGGTGCAATTGCTAAGCGAAAAGTCCAATCATTTAGTGGTGAAGAATGGTGTGAGGCTCGGAAAACAATTGGTGGAGTTGGTTGACGGTGAGGAAACAGCATGGGCAATCCTAGCGGGTTTCTGGGCAGAGATGATCCTGTACATCGCGCCATCCAACAATCTAAAAGGACACAAAAAGGCCATCGCCCGTGGTGGAGAACTGATCACTCTCCTCTGGGCACTGCTCTTCCATGCTGGAATAGCTAGTAGGCCAGGTGAAGCTGCCAGCGCTGCTGGTAGCGGCGTTGGTGTTTAGTGTGCAGTTGCTAGAGTTGCAATGTTTGCCAATCATGCTTAGTTGGTCTTGTCAATATAGTGGTGTTTGTGTCTTCTTGTTACGATAGTATATATAGAGTCCATCTATTATCTAAGCATATAGACATCAAAAGAAATCACCATATTAGTTCATCACCGTCATTATGCATGGTAAGAAGAAAAGATTGCACCTTTAGTTACATTGGTCTAAATTATTCGGTTGAGATTAATTTGATATCTTAATCTTACTATTACTAATTGGATGCTCTAAGTGAGCTTCCGTACTAATCCATCCGAGAAGAGCTAGAGAAGAAAAAAGACCAATTCTAGAAATTATCACAAAAATCATAAGATTCTAACCCGTGCGGGAGGATAGGTTGATAAACTAGTTGATAATAACAGCCATTGAATTTTGTTTCGATAAAGAGGATGTCTATATTATATTCATGTGTTTCGTGACCAACTAGCACACGGTTGTTAGTTCCATGTAAAACACACGATTTTTATGAGAAACAAATTCAGTTGCTTTAGATAACAGTAGCACACGAATTCTACCACCATTAGATCGAAATCTTAACGGCCACCAATGCTTATTGCATATATTTTATAATAAAATTACAGCTGCAATTTTCGAATCAGGTTATAAAAAACCCGATACACAAAACTATACAAACCTAACGAAATCTAATATATGTTGACACAAAGACAATTAACAAGTAACAATTTTTTTCTGTAGCTAGACAAAAAAATAATATATATATATATATATATATATATATATATATATATATATATATATATATATATATATTGACACAAAGACAATTAACAAATCACAAAAAAAAAATCTATAGTTAGGGGCAAGGACAAAAAATAATATAAATGTTGACATAAAGACAATTAACAAGTCACAATTTTTTTTCTATAGTTAGACAAGAATAAAAATAAATAATATATTATAAAATGAGACAAATTTTTTCTATAGTCGCTGTTGTCAGGGGGGAGACAATGAAATGAAACGAGAGAAGACTTGCGGAACAGCTTGACAGTGACAAGAAAAAAAACAGATAGCTAAATCGGTGGGGATCATACGGTCAACTATGGACAGACCCAGCGATCGGATGATCAGAAAACCGTGTGCCGGGAGAGACAAAAACACACTGTTGTCCTTTAGCATTTCCGTTCGTTAAAACTTATTCACCCTTGTTGTTATTCAAGCATAATCTAAATTATTACCCACCCTACCATTATAATATATGATATAAGCAACCCATTAAATTTGTATTTAAATTACCACACTACGCCAGAAACAGCAATTACTGATAGCCTGATAGCCTTGGCATTTCACTGCTGGTTGTCGAACCGGCACTGATGACTATTTTCACAAAATAAAAAAAAAGAAAAGAAAAAACATTCGTAGTGTCGGGCTGCCGGATCCACCACCAGCGCTCCACGCCGGGGACACTGAGGCTGGATCCGTCGCTCGTACCCTGGGCGCGCTGCCGGCGTCGCTAGGGACGTCATGCTCGTGTCGGGACACCAGAGCCGCTACAGTGTCCAGATGCACTGACTATGGCCTGTCACACGCCTCACACCACCAAGGTTGCTGCACCCGCGCTTGGGTCGCCTAAGATGGCATGCCCGCGCCGGCCGCCGTCGGAGCCATAGGGCTAGCCGGATCCACCGCTCACGGCTTGTCCCACACCTTGTGCTGACGTGGCCATCGACGCTAGATCTGTCGACCGCCCTCACAAATCTAGACATAGAGCAAAATCACAAAGTCATTCAACACAGAGACAATGGAAGGTGATATCCAGATCAAAGATAGAAGATGAGGTAGAGATGGACCTCTCGCACCCGCGCGCTGCCATTGCGTCAGATCTGCTCCACCGCCCAAGCGAACCTAGACGCCACCAACTAGTGCAACCTCACATGCCGCAGCCTTCACCACTACCACTACCTGCATGGGCCTGGGCACCGCTGCCCGTGTGCAGACCACGCGCCACTAGGCCACACACACCGCTGCAACGCGCGGCCTCAGATGCTGCCACCTCGCGTGGGCGCCGAGAGCGGGCAGGGGAGACAAGGGGAGTAGGAGAGAGGAGATGGCTCGGTAGAGAAGCAGAGAGGGAGAGAGGACAAGAGCCGGAAGACAAGGAGAGTGTGAGAGAGAGAGAGAGAGAGAGAGAGAGGAAAGCGCCTAAGAGAGGGTTGTTGGGACTTCAACTCCCCGAGTTAACGGAAGTTAACTTTATTTTGTGTCTAGGATCGAAGTCACTTTGCCCGGTTGGTTATACAACCGGTAGTGATACTATCACTATCGGGTTATATTATCAACCAAGAGTGATAGTTTTCTATCATGGCGCACAATTTTAAAATCCAATAGTGATAGCATTGTTGCTTACGAATATGATACCCCTTTTCTTTCGCGGTTTTGAATTATCATGCGGTGATGTGCCGACAGTGATTGTCTCTTTGTTCTATTGTAGTGGCAGTTTCTACCATTATTAAAAGTAAACGATAATACTCCTCAAACTGACTTTCAAATTACCAGCATCTTATCTTATATTTAAAAAAGATTAAATAGCACAAATTATGTCTAGATCCGTATCTAATATTAAAAGTAAGGGATTCATCCATAAGTTGTCCCTTCAACTCAATGACAGGTGGGCCTGAGCTACTCCTTCGCCTCTCCCTAGGCCAGTCAGGACCCTGCCAACATCTATGTTTTACGGAAATGATTAGGATAGGACTTCTGGACCATGCTTTTCATCAGACACATTAACTCATCATCATATCTAAACGTGCGCTTGGCTTCTCTACATAGATCCACGCACCGATTCACTCGCTCGTTCTCATCCGCAAGGAATTGCTCACTGCACCGCTTCATCTCTGTGCTGCCGCCTCCGCCTGCACCTCCAAGTCACGTCGCTTGGTTGCCGGGCCTACAAGGTGCTGTGTGTGGCTGCCCTCTCCCAGTCATGCGGCCACTGCCTCCTCGCCGCGTCGGTAGCCGCCACCATCGCTGTGCCGTGCTCCACCCCCCGCGCACGCCCCACTCTGCCTCACAGCCTTCTCTTGCTTGCGATCTGCCTTGTCCACCGGAGCGACCAGCCGTGGCCTTCTCCACCGGAGCGACCAGCCTCCTTCCCCACCGGAGTGGTGAGATTCGCGCCACCGGTGAGCTGTACACCAGTGAACTCCACGCGCCGATGAGCCTCCGTTTCCAAGCAGCAAGGAGATGTTGCGCTAAAAACACATGTTGTGCAAACGTATGTTTCAAGTGTTTCAGAAGTTTTAGAGGTATATTGCAAATGTTTTATATCGGTGTTGCAAAAGTAGATCGGGATGTTGCACATGTTGTAGTAGCTATATATGTATGTTTCATCTGTTTTAGATGTATGTTGCAAGTGTTTCATCGGGATGTTGCAAAAGTAGATCTGGATGTTGCATATACATGCATGTTGCAAGCGTATGTTTCAATTGTTTCAGGTATTTCATATGTATGTTGTAAGTGTTTTATCTGGATGTTCCATATGTTTGCAATGGCTATACACGTGTTTTTCTGGCGTTTCAAACGTATGTTGCAAGTGTTTCAGCTGTTTCGAACATATCTTGCAAGTGTTTCATCTAGATGTTGTAAACGTAGATCTAGTGTTGGACATGTTGCAATGGGACCAACCTATCGCAACAGCATGCTGCAGCTGTTGGGTGCCACCGTGGGTCACCCTGCAGACGCCTAAGGCCGGCAGACGCGTCCCCCACAGGCGGGGCGGTGATTAGGACCCACATGGACGCAGGCAATCCGAAAGTGGAGCGGGCACGGGCGAGCATTCGCGCGCGGGAAAGGAGCAGCGTGGGGTGGTCCCATGTGTGCGAGCGAATCGCGCGTACCTGCGGGCGTGCAACAGGCATGGCACCAGTCCTGTTCGCTTCTCTTATAATCCGTCTTTTTCAGCTTGTTTTTTTCAGCCAGAACAGTGTTTTCTCTCACAACAAATCATCCGGAACAGTGTTTCAGCTTGTTTTTTCAGCGAAACGAATTGGGCCACCGTCTGACACTAGCGCTCCGAATTAGCCGTTCGGGCTAGCAAGTCCGAAAGTTTTATGGCTATCTAATAGCCTAGATTAACTAAAAAGACTAACAAAAAGCCGTGTTTCTGGCTCATTGAATGACATCCGTTCATGCATGAATAGCCGACATGCGTTGCCTTTTTTTTAGGAAAGCCAACATGAGTTGCCTACCATCGCACTCTGAGTAACGAGAAATTCATGCCCAAGCTTAAGGTTTTCGGACCTGACACCTCGGCCCTAGACGTATGTTGATAAGTCGATTGAAGCTGATTTATTGTGAGAGGAAAACACTGTTCTATGACTGATAAGCCAGACTGATAAGTTCAAGAAATTATTATTTTTTGGTTTCTTTTAATTTAAGTCATTGAGCTGCATGGAAAGAGATGAATGAAAAGTTTTGGTGCTAAACTATGTTTATGTAAATCATGGTCTCCGTTCTAAAATTTTAGAACATTCTTTTAAATATATGAAAACTAAATGTCATTGCCCAACAATGATGCTTTATTAACGTGTAAAAGTAAGTTTAAGGTCTTTGTTATTGGATTGGGGTTGGGCTTGCTAGGTTCCTTCCATTCCAAGGCATGAGTGTATGTACTAGTGTACTAGTATCTATAACTGCTACATACTCTTATACGCTATGAATACAACCCATAGATACTGCTCCCTCTGTTTCAAGAATCTTGGAGACTCAAAGCACGGTATGGGAGCTGGGACTCACCTACAGCTACAGGTCAGCTGCCTCTCGCGTGGAGCACGCGTGTCCCCATCGACCGGCTCGAGCGCCACATGCAGCTGCTTCAGTGTGCTCGATCGTGCAACGTGCAGCCCAGCCCAAGTTGGAGGTGGAGGTGATGTAGGGGTCCAGCCCAGCCCAGCTGTTCCAGCGTCCAACCTTCCCCAACGAATCACCTACAGGCTCACTACTCGTCTCACGCAATGTTCTTCGTCTTCCCGAACGAACTCGTGGTCCCTAGCCTGCGGATACTCCTTGTAGGGCTCCGTATCCCGTATCAGATACGTACCGGATATGGATACATCTTGGGTACGTTTTCAGGCCGTACTGGAAATTGTGGATAGACCATACAAAAAAGTGGAAGATAACATAAACAATAATCTCCTGGAAGATATTTAGAAATCCCGTTTGGGACTGACTACACATCTTGTGGAAGATTTTTGAGTTTGTTTTCTTCCACTTTTTCAACAAATCAAAAGTTGCCACGTCACATTATACAACAAAACACACAAAAAAAATGTACGTCACATGTCTAGAAGATTTTTAGGGTAGTTATCTTCCACTTCCTGAAAAGTGACGTGGCCAAATCTCAGCCAAATGACAACACAGATAAAGCATACTTGATGGAGAACTGACCTTCATTCCTGGTTTCAAGCCAAGCTGCAGTGCAAGAAAATGCTCATGACGCTTGATGCTTTCAAGTAAGGATTCTCCATTCCATCTATCATAATCAGCATAGTTCAATTACCATGGACCATTGGTAAGCATAACCTATGTTACCTTTTTTTAGAGTAGGCACTTAAATACTTATTCATTCTGAAAAAAATCGAAGGTCAACAATATATCAGTGTAGTTGGACTTTCTTGCTTCCTCCTTCCCTCCATAATATCCATGATATTTCTCATGCCTTGTAAAACAATTTTAAATAAAATCATAGTACAATAAACACAATTACTGGATGGACAGATATTTCTTCGAAAGGGAATGAACATGATATGAACCAGAATGCTAGTGCTATTCAGCAGCTTCTACAGTATGTTTCATCCAAAGGTGAAAGATGAATATCTTGGTGCTCCTTAGTGGTATCTACTGCATGAAAGCCTCCCCTATAACCACTAAACTTGGGATTCCCATTTTCGCTGTGACACAAAGCATCGCAGTTCTTGATTCAGAAAGCCCAGATCTAAAAAACAAATGAAAATCATCTAAAAAACTATCCTACAAAACATAAAACTCCCCGGGTCATCCGAGCTCTCAAAGTTGAAGACGTAGGAGTACAAACTACCAAGTGACTATTCAAACTTGATGACAAACCAGAAGAAAATTCTAAAAGGGGCTCAAATTTGATCTGAGACCTTTGGGGCTCGAAGCCGAGGAAAGAGAAAATGAGGATCAAGCACACTCTTCTTCTCCACCAATCTCACAACAATCACAAACTGAAAACTGAAATTAAATAAGACTGAACCTGAACCTATAACCTGAACATGACTAAAACTGAAAAATGCAATTAAATTAGACTGAACCTGAACCTATAATGAAACCTATTAGAAAATGAAAACACAAATGAAATTAAAAACTGAAATTGCTAACTGCAATTGAAGACTGAAATAAACTGAAACTAAAAAGTGAAATTAAATAAGACTGAACCTGAACCTATAACCTGAACATGACTAAAACTGAAAACTGCAATTAAATTGGACTGAACCTGAACCTATAATGAAACCTATTAGAAAATGATAACACAAATGAAATTAAACACTGAAATTGCTAACTGCAATTGAAGATTGAAATTCGAAAGATAACATGGAGGAAACTGAAATACCTAATACTTAAATTATAAACTGAACTAAACCTGAACCTGAACAAAACCGAAACTGAATACTGAAAATAAATAAAACTGAACCTGAACCTAGAACCTGAACATGACTAAAACTGAAAACTGCAATTAAATTAAACTGAATCTGAACCTATAATGAAACCTGAACATGAACATGACTAATTCATCAGAGAAACACAAACGTGGAATCTATGCCTTACCAGGCTGCAGTGCGATCAGAACAGATCAACGAAGAAAGCAGCCAAAAGATCACACATCCAATATTCTGAATATAAGCCGCAGATACCTTGCCGAAAGCTTTGACTTTTCAAGTTTTCATTCTTATCAATGTGACCATATCATTGCAAGAGCTGTCAGACACAAGAATGCTAAATATACCATAATTACATGCCATTCTCGAGCTAACCAACAGCACCACAGAGTCACAGACCCTTTAGTATCAAATGTAGCAATGACAAAAACCATCCTACTTCATTTATTGGACCAAATAAAGAACTTAAAAGATCATGTCAAGGACCTCATTGCTAGCCGCAGCCCATCAAGTACAATAGGAAAAAAAAAGAAACAAAAGAACAAGCTCTAACTATTTGCACATCATCTATAGTAGTGAAGCAACAATAGTTATTTCTGAATCAATCGTTAGCTGGCAAATTAAATCTCACATGTACATAGACGCACACAAGCACAAAGCACACCACACGAGAGTGCAGCACCCGGCCAGCAATGAGACTACATGACGATCTTGAGCGCAGAGCTTTACATCATATCCAATGGTGCTTGATGATCCATCCGCTCGTGCTGCTGACGCGGATGACTGGCAATCTCCTCGTTTAATTTATTCATTTATCCATCCTCTCACAGTCGCAGCAACCTCACCAAGTAAAACCAAATTACAAGATCCATGCAATGCAATGCAATGGATCGGTAGCGCAGATGCTGAGCACGCACAACCTTCCATCTTTCACTATTGACACACAAAATCAAGCAAATTAAAAGCAGACTCAAGCAAAACTGTAGTGACTGGTGACACTGACATGTGCCTGCTCCACACACATACACACAAACCGTAGTGATCAGCAACAAAGTTTGGTAGGGCCGTGTTTAGATTGCAAATTTTTGTAATCTGGACACTGTAGCACGTTTCGTTTGTATTTGACAAACTTTGTCCGATCATGGACTAACTAGGCTCAAAAGATTCGTCTCGTGATTTACAACCAAACTGTGTAATTAGTTATTTTTTTTACCTACATTCAATGCTCCATGCATACGTCCAAAAATTGATATGATGGAGAGAGAGTGAAAAAACTTGGAATTTTGAGACAATCTAAACAAGGCCTAGGTTGTGTACACATTCTATAAGCAAAACAAGACTAATCCCTAGAAGTAGCAAACGATGGACCAAAAAAACATTAACAGATAATCCAATCCCACATTTGACTGAAAAAAATAGCATATCCACGGATGTGGAATGCCAAAACACGGCATGAACTGGAGGAGCAGGGGCGAGGCTTCCTGACAAGCGCAACATCCAAATCAGGGATCGACATTGGAGGGGCGGAGGTTGCGGAGCGCCTTGCCACCTTGCCGGCGAGCTTGCCCCGGCCAAGCCCTCAACCAATGCCGCGACTGACGCAACCACGATACAAATCAAATCAAAATACAAGAGAACAGAACGGCACCAAGGGGAACGTGCTGCCGCTGCCGGATCCAAGAAAGACGCCGCCGCCTCGAACAACACCGCCGTCGTCGCCGCTGCCTCCTCCGACAAAGCCGCCGCCGCCGAAGACAACGCTGCGGCCACCGTAGACAACACGACCGCCACCGTCGCCGCAGCTGCTGGCAAGGCCACGGGCACCGTCGACAACACCCATAAAAACGAAACTAAACGGATTCGATCTCGAATACGGTGAAAAAATATCCCTACCGTTTTCATCCCAACCTCCTGCAGTGGCAATAGAGCAGCACCCAGCGTGCCATCGCAAAGCAGAGACGCACACCGCACAGCACGGCCGCCATTAGAGCTTGTTCCAGGTTTATATTTTGTCTTCCGTTTTTATAGTTCCATTGTTCATTTGGCCGTGCCTCGTTGGATTTATGCCGATCGCCCAAGTATCTGCTAGGAATCATGTTTTACGTACGACCCAAGACACTGAAATTTTTTGTTCTGCTCCTATGCCTATTTATTATACAATATGTAAACCTCACCAACCCAAATTTCTATTTTGCATAAGTGCATCACGTTTTTTTAATCAAGTTCATTGTACAATTAAGGGTCTCGAATTAGCCAATTAGGTACAGATCATTTTTTTTGTCAATTTTGTTATACATTTAAGTGATGCACTAAGATATCATCTAAATAATACATCTTACCATTCATCCTTATGAACTACTTATATCTGTACTTCCTTTGTTTTTAAATTATAAGTCGCTTTATTTTTTTTTAGGTTCATCCGTTTTGTTACGTATCTAAACATAATGTTATATCTAGATACATAGTAAAATGAATGTACAAAAAAAAAAGTTAAAGTAACTTATTATTTAAAACGGAGGGAGTACTTACATAGTGACCAAGTTGACACCAAATTTCCCTTCCGTTAGGCTCCATGGCACAATACAAGCAAGTGGAGTTCTTTTGCGGCGAGCATCGCAAGCGCATGGTGTGCGACGGCCCCGAGGGACCTTCTGTCCTCACGGCCTTATATAACTATGCCCTTCTCAGCGTTGGTCAAGTAGAAGACCAGACTACTCCTGCACCATACGTGGCAGAGCAAACAATTAGGAAGGGCTTGAAAGACCTGCTGGCGTTGAACGTTCAAAGGTTTGTGCAGTCTGGCAACCATGATGGTGATGACTTGAATGCGGATGAGGAATTGCTTCTCAAGCTGATTGAATCTCTCGGACCTGATCACCATGTGACTCCGCTTCTTGACAGGTGAGATGACCGTGTTTGCTATTTCGATCCATATATATAGCTTTGTACTTTTCAATTCAGCATGTCCTTCAACTGTTTAGATTAATTCAGTTTGTGCAGTCTTTGACTCTTTTATTTGATTCAGTTTGTGTGGCCTCTTTAACTGTTCTGATGGATATCCTGTTGTGTGTTCATTGTAGCATTTCCGCATTCGAGCCATCTAATCTCTCTGGGTTATTCAACTATCTGGGGGTACCTTTGTTACACGGCTGGTTGGTAAATCCTGCGGACAAAACCATCTATGAATCCATCCGACAATACTCATACGAAGGGCTGCTGAGGTACCGTAACTCGCTCGAAGGTCCGGAAGAACACTCAGAGGCTGCAAGCGGTGCTGTGGCACAGAAACGTGAGAATTATTTTCAAACTCTGTATGCTCATATGAAAACAATGTGGGATGTCCTGAATTACATTATTCTATTAACTTGTGTGCAGATGCGCTGATTCAAGATTTATTACTTGCTGCAAGGAAACAATCTACTACTCATGTTTTTTTTTTCTGTTAACCCTGTAGGAAACTAGGGGCTTTATTAATGTTTGGTAGATTATATATATATATATATATATATATATATATATATATATGGAAATTATTTCTTACTCCTAGGGAGTAGTTACTCTCATGTATATATATCTTTAGATTTTAAGGTGTATATGGCCCGACAAAGTGTACGTTGACGAAGTATATGATCATACTAGACTTTTTATGGTAGTATGTATGTCATGTATGCAAGTATACATTGAGTATATGGTTATACTTATTTTGTATACTACTATCATAGTATTATAAAAACATATTAAAAGATATGGGTTCTTTTGAAAATTTTCACGTAATAGGATTTGGAGTATCATAAAATGAGTATATAAGCATACTCAAATTGATAAATAAGTACGCACACATACGCAATGTTGTTTATTGAAGGCGGGAGTAACTATTCCCGGGAGTAGGAAAAATACACCCTATATATAAAAGAGTTGGCTAAGGACAAGTTGGTCCATGTGTGTATAAAGTGGGTCTGATAACAAACCGTTTTTACCAAATTTTTCTCTAACAGCCAACAGGTGAAGCTAAAAGCCAAATAAAACCATTCCGCCAAAGAAGCTGGAAATAGAGTCGTTTTAGTCGTAGTTGGAGCTCTACCAATAGGGCCCCGAAGATGGAAGATGAGAGCATCATTAGCCATTAGCATATAGTCAGTTAGTCAGCAACGATGCTATATATCACGAATTGCTTACAGAACGTACGGTCACGTCCAGAACAGGAGAGGTAATTCTTGAAGGTGACTGTTTCATTTTCGTACAAAGAAAAACAATGTTCAGAAGTGCAACTATATTAGTAAATATGGGATTATTTCAATCATGGAGAGTAGAACTGGTATTTGAGAAGTGTAGATAGAAAGTATGTATTACTCCTTCCATCCCAGAGAGAATGCAATTCTAGCACAATGTCATGTTTCAGTATCTTATTATAAATAAAAAAGTATCAATATTTATAATATTAAATAAATACCATTAGATTCATTACGAAATATATTTTCATAATAAAATAATTTGGGGCTATAAATGTGAATACTATTCACTATAAACTTGGTCAAAATGTGAACCCTTAACCGGCACGCAACATGCAGTTGCTTTTTTTTTTGAGACAGGTAGTATTTGATAACCACCTTCCAATATTTGATGGATAGAGCTCTGGATACCAACATTCCGATGCGATGTCATTATGCTGTGGAGAGCAGAGCTGATATTGTATAACACTATCCCCTAGTGTGCTATGTTCATAGCGCGTCGTTGTAACTGTGACTATTTCTTGATTTTATCAAAGATGCGCAAACTTTTGCAGTATTCGTGAAAAAAAAAATGATCGAAGGGTTGATTAATATCTGGTACTACTGTCGACGCAGGTTGTGTCACTCCGTCACGTGTGTGTATATGTGTGCCTTGAAAGTTGAAAATGACATTGAACGGGGAATATATAATCCGCCATGTCCTGTCCTATCGGACGAACTCTCCAGCTAGCTCCAGTAATATAATTGTTTGTGGGGAAGCATGGATTGGTCCTTCATCATTTTGGGCTAGTACTAGTAGTATTTATATGAGATCAGAAGAGTACTACAGTAATAATTTGTTTCAACGGCTCCAATAATCCTGCATCGTTTTGGTCCCGCTTGATTCCGTTCCGCCCCAGCTTGCAGAGATGTGGTCGGGCCTGATGCTCGATTGGCCATTGGCGAGACAGGGTCCAGGGATCCATCGTCCTGGCAGAAGCACAGTGCTGCCGCAGCTGCAGCCATGGCCTCTGATGGCCACGCAGTACGACTCCAGCCGGTGCATGAAAGTGAGAGCACACCACACAGACAGCACCACCGTCCACAAACAAGATGCGAAGGCTGGGGTTAGCTAGCTGATGCTCACATGCATGGAGGCAGGCGCAGACGAACAGGCGGCATGCATGCATCAGTGCGTCACTGGTCACGGCTTTGTGATCCACCGGGCCTACCGTCCATGGCGCCGGTCAAGCCCCAGCCAGAGCCAGTCTGCAGCCTCCTTTTCCAGTGGTCCGCCAGCAGCCTCGCGCTCTCGATCGTCACCGTCCATCTGCCTCGCCCAGCACCAGCAGAAAAGCTCCATCATCACTCATCACAACCTTTTCACTCTCTTTACTTATCTCTCTCTTTGGGTATCAACTTTCGCAACCCAAAATGAAAAAGGGATCCAACGGAGAAACGGAGAGAAAGTTTTCAGTTCCAGCGCCAATTGCCAATGCCAACGCCAACGCAAGCATGCATCTCTCACGGTCTCACCGTGTCGGTGTGGATTCTTTTCCAGCAGCAATTGCTCACATGTTTTCTCCGTGCGCACGCCTCCAAGGCCCCAACACAACACTATTGCTGGGTCCTTGGCAGTTGGCACTACCAATCTGCCTTATAGCATTACGACAAGCTATGCATGCCTCTTGGTCTTTCTTTCATCAAAAAAGTACTAGTAGTACTAGGTAGTAGCTAGGTTTATTCAGACATTTGGCTACACATGTGCATCATTTGTCAGTGACTAGAGGCCGATCGAAAGATTATTACTTTCCATTACAAGTTGAAACATGGTATTTATTCAGTTCTATTGCTACCTGAATGAATGAAGAGAATAAAAAACAAGAAAGGGATCGATCTGTGTACGTGGTTGCTCACTTGCTCTGTAGCAATGGCAGCCACCAAACAATCTGGTGCATGCACCAGCTAGCATAGCATAGATACATGTACTACGTGGACGCTCGCTCATTTCCTCTCAGCTCAGCTACTACCTCGCGCAGACAGTGTGCAGACAGCCGGTACGTATAGACGGCTCCTAAGGGCAGTGCCAATTTTAGAAGCTACATTTAGTTTCTATATCTATTGATCTCTATAGACACTATATGTATATATAAACCATGATCCTAATAGATAATTTATACGGAACAATTTTTTATCCAATCACATACATTCTCTCTCTATTCTCTACCAATCATATCCCTTTATGTTTTGATTTTCGTGTAGACATGGTTTCTAACTTAGACCCAGTTTCTATGATTTGTACTCTCGCTTTAATGACTATCTTGCCACATCAGCAAAACGCTTAAATGACAGTACAATTAATGTCCATAAAAACTATGGTGGTTTGTGCATTGGAAGGACCCTAGATGCATCGCTTCCGGCCACCTCGGAGTCAGCAAGGACAAAATTATGCTTAGCTTAGCTTAACTTAGCTAATCGGAATTCTACCAGCACCCATCCGCAACCTCAGTGCAACAAAATGTAGGGACTAGGGAGCAATTCCATCTGGAAGTGCGAGGAGGAAGAGGAACCAAAACCAATACCAACCAACCAAACCCAAAAGAAGAAGCAAGCAGACGAGATGAGATTGATGGACAGCAGGGAGAAACGAGGAGGACAGCGGTCGTGTTTACAGTCTGCACAGCAGCAATGAATGGCGAGCGAGCGCTCTGAGCGGCTTGAAAATACTAATCTTTTTTAGCTGTCGAAATACTAATCTTCGTTCATGGATCCAGGATGGTGTCTCCGCACCTGCACTTCCAGCTCAGCGGCTTGTAGTTGGTGATGCCGTCCACCCTGTAGGTGAACATGGCGGCGGCGAGGGTGACAGCCGTGGCAGCTCTCGCCTTCTCCTCCTGTGGCACGATGGGCACCTGCACCGCCTCGCAGTGGCCGCAGGACATGCACACCCGCTCGCATCTCGGGGGCCTCGATCCGATCAGAGCCCGCCGCCCTTCCGTCTCCCTCTCCCATTTTATTCTTGCTGCCTCCTGCTTGTTAGCGGCCATTACCTTGTCGGTGCCGCCGGTGTCTGGGAGTGATAAGCAAAGCAATGTATCAGAGCCTCCAAATCTCCAATGTAATGTCAGAAGCAAGCAAAGGATAGGGAAAAAAAACCGAAAGAAAGGGAAATAGATCTTACTGGCATCTGAGAAGGCTACCTCCATGGAAGATGCGAGGAGGAGGAGGATATAGAAGAGGAAGAGGAGTATGTGAACGCTGCTGCATTGCAACAGATGGACCATCTGGCGTGGGCGCGTGCTCACTGCTCTGGCTTTGAAGAGATCTGAGAGTGGATATGGAACTATGGAGCAAGGTGCATATGGATGGATCAGAGGAGAAGCTAATGAGGTAGCTAGCTAGCTTGATCTCTGCGCAAATGCAAGGTGCTGATCTGAATCTTGTACGTAGCTAGCTAGCACGGCATTTGTGTCGTCACTGTCACCCACTCACCCTCTGATGATGATCCTTTATCAGGTTTGCATTGCAGATTGGTTGGGTGGTCGAGCTAGCAGCTAGGAGAGAGGGAGGGAGGAGGAAGAAAGTGAGGGATAGATAGGATAGGATACTTGCTATTGGGATGGGAGCGCCGGAGCAAACGGAGATGGGTGGTGGGATAAGCTGCCCCGGCCGGCCCTGCAGGCTGCAGCTGTGGGTGTGGGTAGGCTACTAGCTTTGGCGAGGCTTTCCAGGTGTCGGCTGCATTCACGCAGTAATCATGTGCAGTGAGCCAGTGACTGCCTCCACCAGCTGACTGCTGGTCAGTGGCCGGTGGCGTTGAGAGTGGAGTGAGTGCCCCGTCTACTGCTGAACTCAATTCGCTATGTGCGCGTGTGCGTGTCGTACGTGTACCTTGTAGCAGGGGACCGCTTGCCTGCCTGCCTGCTTGTGTGCTATCCTATTCCTATCCTCGCCAGGGTTCATCATTCGAGTGTGGCTCAGGTAATCAATCAGGTGAAGTGCTTGCATTGTTGAAGCTAATTGATCGAGTGGATCCATGATCAGCTGAACAATTAGGTGGTATCACAACTCCAATAATTATCATCAGCGTGTCCGTGGAATCCATCGACAAATTTCCCTATTCGCTTGCGTGTGCGCTGATCTGGAGTGGCTCTACCCTGTCTGCCTGCCCGGATCGATCGAACCTCTTTTTCGTCCGGCAGTCATAATGGGCGTGTTTGCATGCCTGACATTGACAACAGGGTGGATCTACAAAATCAGGCCATTATTGATGTCATCGTGCAACAGTCTAACAAATCTGCAGGATCGTCGCTTAGTACAAAACACTACTACTTACAAAAGGGATTTGTCCACCAATTGTTGAACTATGATCCACCCCTGCCACCAGATTTGAACTTAAATATATGATAGCCGACTAGCCCTGACTCTTCTTCCCCGAAGCCACTTTGCAATGTCGGCCGAGCATAGCCCAGCGGGCTCGGGCTCTGGCCGGGCTGGGCCTAGCCAAATCTGCTGAGCGTGGTGGATTCTCCCCGGAAGCCGACAATGCAAGCGCGGCGGTGCCTTGCTGCTCGTGTACACGTACACGTACACGTACGTCTGTGTGTGTGCGTGCTGTACGTCGTCCGGGCGTACGTACACACACACGCAATGCTTTTCCTTATATTACGTCAGTTGCCCATTCATTTCGTTCACGTCCTCTCTTCTCGACTCTCCAGGACAGGGGGATCAAGCATTGCCAGCCTGCCTATTCCTTTCAGTCTGTCACCTGTGAGTATTTGGCAGTTGGCACACCAAGCACTCGTTCATGTTATCATGTAATGTAATCATGCGTGTGAATATACTCGTATTTCTGTATCTGCATACGTAAATTATAATATATAAAACAGAAATATTATATTACTTTTATTCATCTCTTTTACTTTCCCATAATGCTCTCTCATCTTCCCCCTCTCCCCGGGTCTCGTATGTGGCTCGGAATCAGGGTACATGCATGCTCGTTCGACTTAAGGAGTGTGATTCTAAGACGCGTCAAGTAACAGTAAAAGATCCTAATCAAAGATGTACTGAAATAGACAATGATCGTCATTGATAAATTAAATCTTGAAGCCTCAAATCGTTTAGGTGACTGTAAAAAACTATACACTACGTACGTTGTAACACATGTAGGCTTCACCCTCTTCATAAAAAGAAAGAAGGCACCAGCAGTAGGCAGCTCATCTGGAAAGGCTGACTGTACCGCGATGCCCAGCGAGCAATTACTGTGGTAGGCAGAGGTGAGCTCTGTGTGAGAGGCTGAGAGCCCTCTTGTGACATCGTACCGTCCTAGCTCACCCACCGCCTGCCGCGACCACACCAGGATTGAATGGCGGGCAGGCCGGGCACGCGCGAGCAGGCGTAGGTACGTGTGGTCGCCGGTGTGCCTGCCCACCTGCACTACTACACGAATGCTACGTAGAGGCGGCTGGCCATGCTTTAGCGTACCGTCTCTGCAAATCATATGTTTGTAGGAGTGATTTCAAGACTATCCTGGTGTTATCAGCCGTCCTTAAAAAATCAGTTTGTATGGACGGCTGGTAACACCAGCCGTCTCTACAAAATCAAAATATCTATTGTAGGAGCGATTCAGTTTAGAGCCGTCCCTACGGTATATTTTCTCACAAAAAAATCAAATTTATAATTCAAATTTATAATTCAAATCTGATCAGAACATATATACATATATGCATATATAATTCAAATTTGACCAGAACATATATGCATCCACAAGCACAAAGAGCATTATATAAACTAACATTACAAGTCCAATTCACAAGAATATATATAATCCATCATTACATAGACATAATTCACAAGTCTAATTCGTTCCACAGGTCCAAACCGTTCCACAAGGTAAGACCAATGTCAAATTCCATACACATTGCTATCAACGGCCTAGAGCTAGCCTTTTAGTCTCACGAAGGTGTTGGTACTGAGGATTTCTACCTAAGTCGGAAGCTTGGTCATGGTAGACGCCTTTGACGTGTACAATCTGGTCCAATATAAAGTTGCAAAGGTCGTCGACGAGCTCTAAGAATTAATCATCCTTGTATGGGTCCCTTTTCATTTCTTTCTCTTCTTTCCATTACAAGA